TGTAAATAAGTAGTAGAATCTGCAGCTGCAAAAGAGATGGGAGATACTTGACCTGGCTAGTCTAGGTTCAAAAGTGACCTGTTCTCTTTTAAAGAAAGATGAAGGGACTTAACGACCCCTTTACTTTTAAGGTCAAAATCTATGCTATAATTTAAGACAAGGGACTGTTGCAGGGACGGAGTTGGAGACAAAGATTGAGGTATTAGATAATAATTTGGCATTTGTGCCACACCCTTCTGTCGCCTAGAAAATGATTGAAACGCCCATTTCTTACATTTCTATTTTTAGCTAAAAGTAAAACATATTATAAGACAAATGAAGTAAAATTTTGGCGCCATTAAAAAATACTGACTACTAAAGAAGTACTTTTATCAAATCAAAACAAAATTCACCAAACGATACAGATAAAGTCCCTTTTTAGAACTATGCGCAAAGTTTCCCAGCCTTTATAAATAATCCCCTTACTGCACAAAGAAAATGAGAGCACAGAACAGATGAATAAATAAATATATCTAATTTTTTAAATATTTTTTAGCAAGACCAAAGTGGTTGTAGCAATAAAAACTCACAACCTTCCAACAAAATCGATACATTGAAATGATGTGCCTGGCAAGCTGATCTATGAAAACAAATGTCATGTGCCTCAGACCTTTTTGTCCTAGACCAATGACAATTAATGATTGTATTAAAAATGATTTTTCAAGAGTAGAAATAACATGAATGACAAGAAAATCATATAGAGAAAGAGTGGCTGGAATTCAGATGACGATTTCTAACGAGGATAATTCTTGTCCAGCTAAACAACACATCTGACAGTTTTCTATAACGATTTTGCCAAAACTTCTATCAGTTTTTTGTAAAATTTTTAAAGCTAGAAAGATGGAGCCGTTTTCTACGGCTCTGGAATTTGTTTGATCTATGAATGCTGCAATTTCTTGTTTATATCGATTGCATGGGTTAGATCAAAATTCTTTGTCACAAGTTCTAACATTAGATATAATTAGTTTAAGATTTGGTTTAAAATAGAGATAAAATTCTTAACATAACTTGAAGGTGACAATTAAACAATATTTCTGTCGTAACCACCTCTGTCTGCTGCAATAATAAACAAACTGAAGGGTACATCATGTGAATCGCTCCCACGCGTCATACTCTGCCTCCGCGATACGTTATCAAAAGAAAGTTTGCTTCAACACAACGAGTGTGTAATTTAGATGGCGATAACAGCGATCGAAGCAGTTCTTAGTGATTTGCCAACGGATACCTCTAACTTGTGGATTGGCAGCTGTCCTTTGAAATGGCTACGTCACATAATTAAGCACAGAATATACTTCTTTCAAACTAGTTATGTACAGGAAACATAAATATAATATAGCCTTGATAATGATGATGAAAATTGAGGATATATGGCTTTGAATTGAAAATACTTGAGGTTGGTTGCGTTCATGATGAATGAATTTTTATGACGGCTCGTTAAATCTAAAAATATCTTTAAAATGTTAACAAAGTAGATGATGTCAGGAAAAAAACCTTTTTTGGAGTGATTAAATATGTTATTACTCTTTCAGTTTATTTTTTGGATGGTGATTGATCAATCAATGCTTGATATATAGTAAGAATAGAATAGAGAGCTTACTGCTAAACATTTAAAAAATCTTACTTCAAAAGCTTTAAAAATCTTTCTTTCTTTCTAGCTTTCTAGCTAATCCATCTTTCTAGCTTTAAAAATTTTACAAAAAACTGATAGAAGTTTTGGCAAAATCATCGGGAATCGTTATAGAAAACTGTCAGATGTGTTGTTTAGCTGGACAAGAATTATCCTCGTTAGAAATCGCCCTTCCGTGTTCTTTCCGAGTTTGCTTCAACTACATCTTCTGTACATTGTTTTTCAATATACGATTTTAGAGTTTCTTACATATACAATATAATCGAAATTTTTCAAAACATACGCTTAATTTTTAAATAAGCGGACGTTTTTTACTTTAAGCTTTGTGAAGGGGCAAAATACCATTTTAGCACTGAGGGCAATTTTCTAATTTTAGCGTTGTTATCTTAAGGTTTAGGCAGAATTGAATAAACTAAAAAAGAAAATGAAATGATTTTAGCTAATCTAGCAAAATATTGTGCGGCGTAAAAATCATTATTGGATTACCTTCTCTGATTTCGTGAAAATTTTCGAAGATTGAACCAATTTATTCATTTATTTTCAATGCAATAGTTCGTTTATTTCAGAAAATTGAGAAATTACTTGGAATAGGATACTAGAGTGGACACATCCCAAGCCTTCCTCTTTTCTTGACCCCTAGATTGTAATTTTAAGAAAGATCTTAGTAACAAAAAATGTCTCCAGCATGATCAAGTGCTTTTGCAAAAGAACCAAAGTCATAAAGACTTAAATTCAGTTATGAAAGAGAAATATATTGTGGGAGGGGGAGGGGATTTCTTTCTGGGGGGCTGATGTGGATGGACCTTTGCGTCTGTATTTTGTAATTTATCAAAATCTAATTAACAATAAAGTGAAAATGAGGCAGGCTCGTGGCCCTTGATCTCTTGTTCAAAGAGATAATATGTCCGTTTTCCTCCTGGTATTTTTTGACCTTTTGAAAAATTTCAGGTAATGAACAGAAAACTCACAGCCAAATGCAAATGGCCGCAGTTTTTCAACTGAATGAAAAGTCTTTCCCTGACTGAGCCTCTGCATTGGCACTATTATTAGCTGGAAGCTGATTATAGAAACCTTTATCCACTTTAAAAACCGACCGTCTGATCCCCTTTTGGCCGTGCCTTAGGCAAAACAGAACACCAGAAGTCAAAACACGTGGCTAAAATGTCTTAGGCGAAATAAGATAACAGTCAAACAAATAAAAAGACGTGTGGAAAAGATCAACTGAATCGTCAAGATTTATTTGCAATAAGTCCTACCCTTGAGCGAAATGGCTGGTTAGTTAGTTCTTGCTTTGAAAAGTTTTTGTGTAAAGAAGAGATATCCGACACAAATCTGGACAAAAGTTTGCCCTGATGACAAAGATAGACGCAAGAAAAAGTGCAAATATTGCACTGTGGAGCTTGTTTTTGATATGATTCAAGATAAAAATGTACCACTTGATGATAAAAAGCTGATTTTTTACTGTACAATTTTATTGAGCTAAGCTACAAGCTTTCACACATATTCTAGTCACTTTACACCCTTCATATATCAAGTTATTTTTCTATAGATAAACTTTCTCTCTCCAATGCTGTAGATTATTTTATAGATTCGTCCAAATTCATTGCTTGCTGCTAACAGAGATAAAAAACATTAGAGAAGTTGACATTAATATAAAAAGAAAAAGAATAAGAAACTCAGCAGTGAACTTTGATGGCTGTTTTAGCAAATACTGGTTACAAGAAATAGGACAAATTTACAAATAGTAAATGAACTGGACAGAATTTTGTAACCTATCGGAAATTTTCATGTCCTAACAAACTGAAAGCCACAAGAAATAATTATCTTAAAAATCATCATTCATAAGCACGTTTTAGTCATGAATATTTGAGTTTTTATTTGTTACAAATGTAAACAAGGAACAAAATTTTATCGCTTGGGTGTCATTTGCAAGAGCCTGTGCTTTTATCAGAATAAATGCATTGCTAATTTGTTTTTTCTGTCAAATTTGTCAATCTCTGTCAAATTTGTCGATACGAAATTTAGATACTGCCTTTCAGTGCATTTATGTGCATTTCAGATTGTTTAGTAATTTACCATATTAAAAATCGTATCCATATTCTTCAATCGTTTACTGTTCCATACATTCTATTATATTCTCTAAAATCATTGAACGAGCCTTTAAGGCAGTATACTATGACAGGCAGTTGGCTGCTCTGAATGCAAATGCAAGAATTAAGATACATTGGAAAACGCTGCCTGATAACTGAGGGACCAGAATTATTGTAGGTGGTATCGGATGTCAATAGGCTACTTGCACTTTCATTCAAGGAAGCGTTTGAGAATCGTTTTGTTGTCTGTTGTTTCAAGCTTCTTGATAGTTCAAGTTACAGGGTGCGATGTCATTTGGATCAGAAAGGTAGCTTTGATCAAGAAGATGCAGTGACTCCTTACAAAGTTATAAAAGGCTCTCAATTTTCTTGAATCTGAAAGTCAAAAATCAGAAAAAGGGAGTTTTTATAAAATACTCTAAAATTAGAAAAATGGGAGAGTTTATAAAGTACTAAAATTGCAGCATCATTTTTTCTGCTATATAAATGTTTCCCGCGCCTTGCATCAAAAAGTCTAGTGAGATTTTGAAAGTGTAATTTCAAAGCCAATGTTGTTGTAATTTGAGGGAAGCAAAAATGTCAACCGTATCTATCCTATGACGGTTAGGGCATTTAGTAGCTATTTTGTGGTATGAAAAGTTGGCATTTTTAAAAACTCGAAAAAAAAGGAAGGGTCGTATTGAAAATTGCTAAGGAGGTACGTCAAAAAACGATGAAGTTTTCCATGGGATTGGATAACACTGAAGTTTTACATGGAAATTGAAGCAAAATAAGCAGTTGAGGGACATTTTAAAAAATTGCAGAGTATTTGTAACCACAAGATGGTGAAATATTGCTCGTAATGATGTACCGCGTGGTTAAACTGTTTAATTTTCTCCGATTCAAGATAGTTAGTCCGAACTGCTTTAGATTACACTCGTTTATTGAGACAGATTTCAATCCGAATCACATAAAGATTTGCGGAAGATTTACGGGTTTAATTTCTTCTGATTGAGTTTTAAACTCATTGACTTAATCACCTCTAATTTTACACTGACTTCTGGCTATGGAAAGCTCCTCTGTTTTCATTCTAATAGCAGTTACATCCACAGCCGATTTCTGGTCTTCTAACACATAATTTCCACGTATTTCATAGAATCACTCACTCATTTTCAAAATATCCTCGTTGTATCTGAAAGTTAGTAAACATGCTAGGCTATTAAAAAAGAAGACACCACGTGATGTTTTCAGTTAATCATGAATCCAACAACAATTTAGCAGCTACCAGAAGACACATTGAGTTAAAAACTCCTTCCAAATAGCTGGAATGAATAACCTTGGAAATACTTGGTAGGTGTCAGTATTGTATTGGGCATAATCATTTATCAAACTGCAGCAGGCTGCGTCTTCCTTGTTAGACAATTCGTAATTTGAATCATTGAGTTGAGCAGAATAAGGGCTAATCCACCGGTCGCATTGTTCATAGTTGAAGGATTAAGCCGTTTCATTTTAAAGAGAATGATGAATAATTTTGACATGGAGGCAGGGCTCACTTCAATGTAAACTACTGTTTAATCGCTTTGCAAAGTATCTCTGTATTGACTGACAAATGCATGGAATGTTTCATGGAAACATCGACTGAGGCAAGCATGTCCTGTTGTGTGTACACGATTGTGTTTGGATGGATTCATAGCTCGCATGTGTTGCTTCATTTACAACGCACGTGAATGAAATTAATGCAATTATCTTTCTATTGTATTGCTAAATTGGCAATTAGATGCTACGCCACGTATCGGACATCGAACGTTGTCAACTTGGCCATATACACGGAACCTGAATACCTCATTTATGAACTGACAGTGTGGTTGGAAACCTACCTTTATGCTCTCGACTGTGCAGAATTTTTCAAATATTCCGTTTTCAAATTGCTCACAAGCTGGTTTGCTGGTATCATATTGTATTTATTGTTTAGATTTTACATTGCATGTTTGGGAGTGATTTCGTGGTATGTTTTGATGGACCTCGATACAGCTTTATGTTTTTCTAAAATTAATTTGTTGACTTTACGGTAAAAGTTTTTCGAAAGCTTCGAATGCATTTTCAGCAAGCAAGATGACACACGTGCAATTCTTTTGAGGAAAGAAAGTTTATACTGACCAACGTAAACCGTTCCTTTCAAAATAATTTGCTGGAGAAGTAAGTTTATGAAATGGAGCCTTCAGGTGAAGAGGAAAGGTTTTCGGACATGCCTGACTGTGGTACAATGGAAAACGTCTCCGAGTGGGTTAGAAGGTCCGTCCTGTTTTGGTATACACCGGACAGCATTTCAATAGACGATGGTCAGGACAGAAAAGAGCGGGAATCCAGTCGCTCACCAAGTTCTATATGTGATCAGGAAAAAGACTTGAAATCTTCAATTGAAACTGCATCTGACAAGGTAGGGCTTAAACCTTCCAGTTGGGAAATCTTTCATGAGTCATCAGCGGAACCCGCAAATTTTTTTACTACAGATAAAGAAGAAAGCACTGGAGATATGATGCTTGACGTAGAGAGCATACAAAAACTCTTAATTGAGCCCTTTATAATGGAACAAGGAGTTGATAATAAAACAGAATCATGCGATAGTTTGAGCAACGATTCACCATATTACACTCTGAGCTTCCCAAAATATACAAAGCATATCTACTCGCCTTTGTACGAAGAGCACTCTGGATTAACGAAAGAAAATTGTAATCCGGTATTGGCGCATAGACCTGACTGGAATATAGCGGACACATTGAACAGAATTGGTTATACGTGGGGTCAAGTTGAGTCAAGCAGTCTGGATGGTGAGAAATGCCAGAAAGCAAACGGAGAATGCGCCAATGAGTATGGCAAAAACATTAGCGAAGACATGGAAACTAAACGGGCAAGTGTCGATTCAGACGTTCTACGCGCTATAAAACGGGTTCAAGAAACTTTAGGTGAGATAGCTGAAGAACTTCACACAACCCGTACACGGAAAAATAGCAAAGACAGGGACCCAAACGTGATTCTCGTTAATTTGCTTTCGCGTATACAACCACCAGCCAACAGGGACTCTTTTACATGCAGCCCGACAAATGACGCGCCTGAGACAAGCCAAAAGGATAAAATGATGGCTGAAGATATCGGCGAAGGATCAGCAGTATCTCCTGGCCAGATAGAGCCAATGACTGCGGCTTTAGACAAGAATGAAGGTAAGAGACTTTGATTCAAACTTGGAAACAATAATTACTTTTGTTTACAGTGTGTGTCAATTTTGAATAGAGCATGTACAAACCTTTCAAATTTGTCCAGATCTGATAGCTAGGCCGAGCGTACTTCCGAGGCAAGTAGAAACATTCATTTCAGTGGGATTATAACGATATAACAGAATGTAAGTTATTCAAAAGGTCTATCCACTGTATACATATTGGCCACAAAGCCGGTAGCAAAGAGGCGGACGGCAACTGTCGAGAAAAGCTGCTTTCAATTGAAAACATTGGTTCAGTGTCATTCCTGGGCTTGAAATTATATTAACAGCGAAGGTAAAAATTTATCTTTATTCTAAAGGGGTAGGGGGTTGGGGTGGCTCAGCTTGCAGATTGTTCCTCTTAGGTTTGTATATTATGAAATATCCAATGATTGAAACAAAATTTGAAACAAAATTCTGTTAATGGGGTTTTTTCTAATGCGGAGTCATACGTCAGAATACAGCTGATATGTGAGATTGGCGCGAAAAGTATTCACGTTAATGTTAAGAAATAAAGCCGGTACATCTGCCAGCCAAAAACCTCAGATTTCATAGTGGTATCAAATTACTACGACGATCTGAGTTCACTGCCTAGAATGGTTGCTATTTCAACCTCTTCAATGAAAGGCAAATAATCGAGAAACTGTCAGTCATTAGCTCGTATAAGAAAATTTTGATTGCTTCGAAAACGTTTTTGAATCGCTATGAAAATTCAACCAATTATAAATTGATTAGGCTTGAAATAATCAAGACTTCTTGTTCCTTGTCAGCCACCTTGGTTTCTTTTTAAAAACTGCACATCAACCAAGACATTATTTAGGCTAACAGCTCCTTATTAATTTCCTCAAAAGTTCCGCCACACAGCTAATCCTATATTATCCTATTATTATAGCCCTTAAACTTTGGATTCCTGAACCACAAATCATTAGCATCAGAACGGCTGCCCTCTTCCCACGGAGACCTCGTTTCTTCATAATACTTTTTGATAAACTGCTAAATTGGTCGTACTTGTGTTTGGAGGAGAGCTTTCATTAAAGTCATTGTTCCTTTTGCTTTCTATTTTGCCTTCTATTTTGCTTTGTCAATTTGCACATTTTGTAATATATTCTTGTTATGCCGTCAGTTTCCATTCATATATCATATGCTTTGTGCAAATGTTGTTATTTGTTGATATAAAATGAGGGAAGTGTAAATCAAATGTACAGTGTTTACAGACTACAATAATTAGGGAAGATATTCATCCAGGGATTTACAGGCACCCATATTAGGTGGGGGTATATCCATATTAGGGCCTGTAAGGATTGGAGCCCATATAAATAGATTTGTGTGTCTCAATCCGAATACCTAGTGAATGTTTATGTTTTCTGCACTAAACGCAAGCGAATGAATGGGCATTCACTCGTTGTTTGAACACATTTTTGAACAATTGACATTTGAACAAATGAGAAGTTAGGCAGTTGCAAATTAGCGCAATCAAGTACACTTTCAGTACATTTAACGGTAAATGAGATCTGGGTTGTCGTTGCTACAAAAGATTGTCTTAAAGAGTCCTATGGCGAGAGGAGCTTTTAAGGTGTATCATAACAGGTTACACTCTTTATAAGCCACAAGTTGACAAATATTGTTTCTGTCGAATTCGTGGGATTCTTCTTTGAAAATGCAAGATAGCTCCTTAGATCTAAAGCTTATTAACAGTGTGCGTTGCAAGTGTTGGGTTTCTTAAAATCCCAAGAAGTTATTGTAAATACTCCTTATGGAGATAACCGAGAAGGAGATAACCGTTTCGAATCAGACTATGAGTCAGAGGCACACAGACCACAGCAAAATTTCCCTCGCCTTATCAAAGCAGATACAGTACAGAAATCTTGCGCTGTCTTATCTTAAAGAGAAATCAGTTCTCGGAAACAATTCTTATCAGTTTAGTGGCGACATGAGGTACCTACTACTTTCTAACCGTCTCGCGTTTGGGTTTTTATTCATGACTGACCTTGAAGCTGTCAGTTTTTGGAATAAACAATTTTTTATGAAAAACCATACGTAAGAAACCCAGAGGCGGCGCCAAGGGGTGGCCTGGGTTGGACAAGTCCACACCACTTTTTTAAGATCGATTTTCTAATTTTTACAAAACTGGACAAAAATTAAGGGGGAGGGTGTAAGTTTCTTCTCTGAGATCGGAAATTTGTTCCACTTTGATGGTCTCCTTCATATCCTAGCTGACATAGAGTATGGTGAGTTGGATCATCAGTTCCGTAAATAGTGAGAAACTATAATAAAGATGATCTATAAAACACGGCTTTATTGTGCTAAACAATTGGTTCTTAGAGTGTAGTTTTGGCCTTCTTTCCTTGTTGTAAATAACTTTAGAACTTGTACCCAAACATTTTTTAAGCTGTAAGAATAGAAAAGTAGCAACCCTACCTGTCACAGCTTCATCGTGCGAAAGGACATACAGCAAAGTAAAGATCATCAGCAATTACCTTTGCGCCTCAATGTTAGATGAAAGGTTGGCAAACTCTGTTCAAGTTAGCATCGAGCGAGATATGGCAGATAGAATAGACATAGGAAGCCTCGTTAACAAGTTTGAAAGCTAGCTAAAAGTTACCACTCTGATGACACTGATATTAGCTTTTTCGTGTGTAAACCTTTGCCTATGAAACTGAATTCTTCTACTCAATGAAATCGAATTCTTCTATTGAGGGTTACACCATAGTTATCAGTATCGAGCACAATTGCTCACCAGGTGTGCAACAGTTTCTCGCCTCGGCCCCTTCATCAGCTCCTCCTCTTCATTGTCCACCCCTTTTTGGGGGGCTGGCGCCGCCCCTGAAGAAACCGACACCTAAGATGACAGAAAAAGTTAAGTTATAGATTAAATCACATCAAGAACACCGTTTGAAAACGTTTTTTTAAATAGAATGGAAATTATTCTTGTATACGGTTAGATACCTATTTCTGGTTCAACCGCCGTAGATTATTGAAGAAAGATCTCCTTGCGACCAACTAGGTGCTCTGTTTTACTTTTCATATGCTCCATTTTTGTGTTTCAAAAAGTGGATTATTAGTACATTGCATTCAAGAACATTTTAGAATCGTTTGGTACTAAAATTAACCAAAAAAATTAGAAACAGAGTACGATATTTGCATCAATTTTCCCCAAAAGTGATCTACAATGACTAAATGCTATTAAACTAGACACATAATGGGATTCATATAACTACAATGCGTGAAAATACAAGTTAAAAACATCCCTTATTTTTGGGGCAGGGATGGCAATAAGAAATCCAGTTGACCTGATTCCATAATGATTTTAGAGATTCTAGAGTTTCGTATAGCCAATGCTTGTGGTATCGAGAGCAAACAAAGTCAAGATTTTTTAGCATTTTTTTCTTTCCGAAATCAGCAATAAGTCCAATGTTGGCTCAATAGAGTCTCTAGAACATAAGTTCCGGGTTGAGCGTTCTCGGGGGGGGGGGGGGAGGGGAGGGGTAACTAACTCTATTCGTTGACGGGGATTTGCCATTTTGGTTCAAAATTTGGATCTATAATTCTGAACATATCTGAAAAATGTGACCCTTGAATCTTTGCCCCAAAACGAAACCCATTATTGTGTATGTTTCAAAAACTAATACCGATTATTCCGCACTTTTCCGAAAAATTGTACCCATAAAAAATGGCACCTCCCCGTACCTCAAGCCTATAAAGGTACCCAACACCCTCCCCCTTGTATGCATTACATTTCGGTTCTTTAGGGAAAAATTTGTCGTTGAAATTTTGCTTTCGAAGGGCTCAAGGGCTTTAATCTCCCCAAAGACTAGACCTAACTTTGACATCTATGAGAACAGCATGCCATTATCTCAATTATTGAAAACAGTCCTTCATAAAATAGCATAACACTGCCCTGAAGGGGAATTTTCCTTCCATCCAAAAAAATGAATTATTAGTCCTTCTGACGATTATCAGAACTTTCATTGTTTTCGTTTATAATTCTAGATATGCTAAATTAGAATATAGTTAACTGTTATCTTTGTTGACTGGCGGGCGTTTTAAAGACAGACGGGAATTATCATTAAGGGGACATCTAACAGTCGAGTTCTGTTAGGGCATTGTGAGATTAGTGAATAGTGTTTACTTTTATTCCAGTCTCCTTATTCCAATCATAATTTAAAACGGTCTCTGTTGCTTTGTAATTTGCTTTTTTAATTCATTTGCAATATCAGTTTTCCCTGCGGGTTAGAGATAACTGAATCAGACAGTGAAGAGGAAGGAAGAAGCATAAATGAAACGAATCTGAAATCGTTGCTTTCGCGAAATATTCCACCAAGTTGATTATATCTGACCTAATGGCCAGGGACGATAAATGTATTTAAAAAGTGTAAGGGCTTGCAATTGAAATGCACCGTGTCACGCCCAATCTCCATAGAAGAATAGATGGAACAACCTCTTTATCATTATCCGCCTCAAATAAAGAAAAATATGGTATTTAACTGCTATTTAACGTCGCGTCCCCATCAGAATTTATTTCGCCCAAAAACTTTAAGTTTATGTAAATACAGCAGACAAAGAATCTACCCACATCAAGCACAGCTTTCCAGGCAAATATACCACCTTGGTGTACGTAAATCAGGTTGTTTGTGACGGAAGCATCATAACTAAATCATTACCGAAGTTGCAAATTCATTTGGATGACGATTCTGCACTTTAAAACAACACCCATTCAAATTTTAAGATTACGTGCACAACAGAAGAGTCCCAACAGAAGAACAGGACTACTGCTTACGTAGACTAGGTCAGTTGCAATGGATTCTGGGACGGGAAAGACCGCTCCTATCTGAAGGATCCAATAGGTTCAACATAGATAAATGGAAGCATTATTTGTGGATTAAGTAAAAATAAAATGCCAGCCACCTCCGAATTGATGACATGGTCGTAACAGAATGTCATTTATTATCAAAATTGTCGTTATTG